ATTTCCGGTTTTTTTTTTGTCATTTCCTCAGAACGAAAGAAAGTGAACATAAGAGCATTCTTTTCACCTTTACAATGGCTCTGTATTCTACGGAAGGTTGAGTGAGAATGACACTGGTCCCATACTCCTGATCCAGTCGAGCACCAAAAACCTCCATATGTAACACACCGAGGAATCCCATCTGAAATTGTTACAGAAATGATTTTACATTTCTACCAACAGCAATATCTTACAAACTTTCCATCCCAAGCCTAGTGCTGGACTGGAATCGGGAATGATCACTACTGAAGGATCGTTGAGGCTGAGACGGTCGACGGCCTAAAATGATAAATATACAAAGTTATGTAGTAACATAAAAACAGGATTCACACATGCTTTCACTCATTAACACGTTGGCGACATTGCGTCCCAATGCTGGGACGCACCTTTTTTGCCGCGTGGGACATTGCGTCCCAATGCTGGGATGCGGCATGGGTAAAAAACCAATTTGAATACGTTTCAATTTTCAACAGCCACATTGTCCAGGAAGGCATTCGTAGAATATACAGTAGCTGTGAACCATGCAGTTGTGTCATTAGAAGTATTTTACCGAGGGACTAACGAAAGTGATTTCTTAGGAAAAATAATTTCTGGATATATAGAACTGAAGCTCCACATGCAGATAGCTAATGTGATAAGGTAACTTCAACAATAGCAGATCTGAATCGAATCCAATTTACCACCTCTGGCGCGAAAATATTCCTTTTTTGCGACCTTGTTCCCACGTGAATGAGGCGGGAGTATTCCATGAAAATTTAGGGTTTATCTTGAAAGTAAACAAAAACAGCGAAGCCTTACCAGCTTCTGCATTGAATTCTAGTCCTTCTTCAATTGTTTTGGTGTATAAACGCCCTAGCATTTATGCGCATTCTTCGAAAATAGGGAAAAACTGCTTGGTCCCACGCGGCAGACACGCGAAAAGGCGCCTTGTCGCCAATGTGTTAATATTTGGAAATGCTGAAGTGTATCGAGTCAAATCAGTGGGGGAATAGTCCACA